AAGCTTGATACTCTATTTAGTCAAAGGAATTTTTATTTGAATTTTAATCATTTTGATGTAGAAATCAAAATGTTAGATTGATTGTACTTGCTTGGATCTAGACTTCCACTAAATTCATCTGAACATTCCAGAACTACCTAAGAAAACAAGTTTAAATAGTAATCAAAATATGACTTTAATAGAGAAAAGGATAACATGTTCATAATTTAAAATTTAAAACCATTTAACCATTAACTATGCACCAAACACAATCAAACAATCACATATAATATTGTTGCGTCAAGGAGTATTCGCGGCGGTAGAGAAATATAAAGTTTAACGTCTTAGCGTTGTACGAAAATCCGGCACGCAATTATATAAGAGAAAGGGTCTAGCATTTATGAGACACCAAGATTTTTACATGAAAACCCCCTAAAAAGGGGAAAAACCATGAGGCTTAGCCCAGTTTGAATGAATCCACTAGTATTGTAGTCGATTACAAATGAGGCCCTTCCTTGGGGGAAGGCCTAGGCTTGATGTACATTATATGAAGTACATTACATGTTGGAAATACAAAGAGTCATTGATGACATGTTCGTTTGGTCGGGAGGACCATAGTCTGGTGACGGAGGTCAGAAGAATCGTAGTCGGCAGACGACGTAAGTCAGGAGGACCGTAGTCGGCTAGTGACGGAGGTCGGAAGGACTGTAGTCGATAGGAGACGTAAGTCAGAAGGACCATAGTCGGCGGGTGACAAAAGTCAGGAGGACCGTAGTCAGCTGGTGACGGAGGTCGGAAGGACCGTTGTCTTGCGACGGAAGCTGGAAGGACTGTGTCTGATGATGAAGGTCAGAAGGACGATGTCAGGTAGAAGTCCAACAATGGAAAGAAATCTATCTTCGGATATACGTCCAGCGAAAGTCCGATAACCGATAGAAGTCCGGCGGCGAGTTGAAACTTGGCAAAGAGTGAAGGTCCGACGTCGGGTAGAAGTCCGACGTCTGTTGGTGGCCGAGGAGAACTCCAGCATCACTTGGGTGAAATTTCGGTGTCAGGAGGGAACTCTGTCGTTAATTGTGAAGAATTTTAGCATCCCGTGGCGTCCTGTGGAAGTTGGGCAGAATTTCGACGTCATTTGGAGTTCGGACGGAACTCCGACGGTAGTCGAGGAGGAGTCTCTTCCCTCCTATTCTTCTCTTCTTCTCCTCCTCCTTCTTCCTTCTTGCTTCTTGCTTCGGCCCACCTCACAAGAAAAATGAGGGGTCTATTTATAGATTTTTGGTGTGGCATGGCCCGTAAATAGGTGAGAGATCATGGGCGAATCGAGAGTGGTTCGAAATGGACGGCCGATATTGAATTCCTTGATCAAAGACCATTCATAAAATATTTGAAGGCCTTAATGATGTCGGAATTTGGCTTTCTTGGGCTCATTGGGTTTGTCTCGTTGAGCCGCTCGATTCGACTATAAGCACGTTATGTTTGGAGATTGTTTGGTAACTCAAATTGTGGTTTGAACCTTCCAACAGCGCTTTGGGTCCTTGTTTTCAACCCATTTGGGCTCGGATTGAGCCGAATTTGGTATCGTTGGATTTGTATTTCCGAGACGATCGGTTCAATAGTAAGTTCGCTGAAATCGGAGTTCAGATGATCCCAGAATTAATTTTTGAAGTTTCCAACTTGATTTTTGCGCCGAGATTCATGCCCGATCAAGATAATTCTATGATGACATATCAAACATGAATAGTACAAAGAAGCTACACAAACACTGTTAATCGAACCAAATTGAAACGAACTTATTTGGATGCTTTGGTTTGGTTTAATAAATATTAGTTCAGTTATTAGTTCATATTTTTTAAGCTATTTGGTTTACATTTATTAGTTCAATTGCACATGCACGAAATTTAGAAAAAAAAAAAAAAAAAAAAAACATGGAGTTCAACAATCAAACAAAGAGAAAGTTTAAGAAAAGAGATCAAATGATGTTTAACAATCACATAAATGTCAAGGGTTTTGTAGACTTACAATTAATTCTATTAACTCTTCTAAAAAATCTTATGCATGATATAATCTTCTTCAATTGTTAGAAAATGATGATTATTATATCTTCTATTATTTAGTGGATTATTTCACTAGGTCAAGCTCTCTGATTTTTTTTTTTGAAATTTTTGCATAAAAAGATAAACTCTTACAATTTTTATCTCTGTACTAGACTCTTGTCCAAAGCTAAAGATATTAAGCATACTATATTATCATAATTTTTCTAGTGCGTAATAATTTGATATCATCAGTAAGAAATTATATCCCAAATATAATGTCTGAAGTGCATTTTCTCATTCTAACACTCATTAAACTAAAAAATTTTCTTGTAAAAACGGGTGTCATAATCCGCCAAGAGTAGGATACATCGAATTAAGGAACAATAAGCTTGCATTTTTTAATAATTGGAAGAGGCTGAAATATAAAGAATACTACTGCAAAATAATGAAGCTCACCAGCTACAAAATTAACATCATAATGGTGATGAACAATTAGAAATACTTGAAGAATATTCCCTTATCATCATATTAAAGTTCATCCTCAACCACATCTTGAGCCATACTTATTAACACCACTAGTTCAAGTCATTGTTCTCATGCCGATTGATTAACATGGAAACATGGAATCTTCTACTAGCCTTAGGAACTTGACCCATCCCTAATTTTTGGATAATCCTCTAACATTATAAGAAGTAATTTATGATGTCTTATTCAAGAGGAATCTTATATGAGAGTTAGGAATCATTTTTCATCTTGATGTATTTTTTCAAAATTCTCTAACAACCTATTTCTGTGGGATTCAAGTTTTGATAATAGTATCTTCAACTTCACCCACTTTTCTCAAATTGTCACCAAACACTTTAATACCCAATGGAGAATCATAATAGATTCCTCTTATCTCTCAGGGATCCATCAAACTGAAAGAGAATTCTTAAAAAAAATACTTTCAAAGATTTTTCTCTAAAGTTCATTAATTTTTAGGAGTGGATCATGAGTTATTAAGGGACGTCTTTCTTGGAGGTCTTCGCCCAGTACCTTTTACTTATCATAATGCAAGAAATATTTTACTCTTATGCAAATTTAATTTATAGCATGAAAACATAAATTACTACTAATGAAATCATCAATATGCATACGAAGGTAGTTTGTGCAATCATTTAGCAAATAATAGCATGCTTAATAAATCAATTCTAAAAATCAAAACAAAGAAAATATGATCTATCAAGAAATCAAGTTGTTTCCTTCTCATCTAGCCAAATAACAAAGAGATATTGATCACCTCAATAATGGGAAGAATATACATAGTTAAAGGAATATATGGCGTTATTTATATCACGAGTTAATATTTTTATAGTTATATGAGATAAGAAGTTTTAAGTTGTCTCATCCCTTAAATTAAAAAATTAGAAGCAATATTATCTTTTCCATTGTAGTCATGGATACAGTGTTGACACATACTAAAAATTAAAAGGGAAAATTGTGAGATTAATCCTATAGGGTTACCTTTACTAATTTATTCATATCAAATGTGGCATCAACTCTTCTTCCCCCAAAATTTTCACCTCAAAGTCCTCCCTCATTGAACTCCTTCCATTGATCTCCTTTACCTTAGATTCGGCCAAGGGAATCACGATTAAATCTTGGTTATGTTTAATAATCATAACATTTAGTGGAGTTTTAGGTTGCATCTCTATAAGCTTCCTTAGCATCTCCTCCACCCCTCCCAACCGATTTCCATAGATAAAAACTTTCTTTTCATAGTTGAGAACTTCTCCACAGCTAAACTGATTTACTCCATTTTACTTTCTAAAGCCTCCACCTTCTTTGTTTCCATATGTCTTGAAAAAGTGCATTGATACCAATATGATACCCCCTAGAAGTAAAAAAAGCAAAAAAAAAAAAAAAAATAGATCAAAAAAAAAAAAAAAAAAAAAAAAAAAAAAGAGAGAGAGAGAGAGAAGAACAACATAGGAACACAAAGTTAGGGTTGCTTTTTTATTATCTCTTCAACCAATAATGAAACATACAATTGATCTACTATTCGAGAGGTAGATAAACTTTCCGATAAACCATAGACGCAAGTAGAAACTCACGACAAACACTAGAAAAATAAACTCAATAATATCATCATACTCAACCTTAATCAAAAATCCCTCTTACATAGCCCTAGCCATAAGAACACAAATATAACCTTTCTAAATAATTAAACATATTTTAGAAAATCTTCCTAAACAAATATATTTTAGAAAACATTCCTAAACAATTAAAAATATTTTATAAAACCTTCATAAATAATTAAACACTTTTTAAATAGCATAAACACAATTAGAAGGCTTTCATGAACAACTCACCCTTGATTAGGAACATTCTTAAATAATTTCTCCTTAATTAGGAACTTTCCTGAACACAGCTTCCCCCTGATTCCTCCTTATTATATACTACATAATAGCTCCCCTGGGCCCCATAAGATGCCCAATACTTTTCTACCTATCATAATGTGAGAAATATTTTACTGTTATGTAAATTTAATTTATAGAATGATAACACAAATTACTACTAATGAAATCATCAATATGCACATCAAAGATTGTTTGAGCAATCATTTAGCAAATAATAGTGCGCTTAATAATTTTTTTCTAAAAAACAAAATAAAGAAAATATGATCTATCAAGAAATCAAGTTGTTTCCTTCTTGTCTTGCCAAATAACAAAGAGATATCGATCACCTCAATAATGGTAAGATCATATAAATAGTTAAAGGAATATATGCCATTAATTATATCTCGAGTTAATATTTTAGTTAGGGGTGTCAATTTGGGTCGACATATCGGGTTCGGGTCGAACCCGATTTGACCCGGGCATAAACAGGTCAACCCGAACCCGACCCGTTTAGGTAAACGGGTCAGAAAATTAAACCCAGACCCGACCCGCACGGGTTGCTGGGTTGACCCGACCCGACCTGCAAACCCATTTGGTGGTGCCGGAGATGCTGCAGTCGCCGTTCGGCGTTCGACGTGACATTGACGACAGCCGATGTCCGGTGCGTGTGCGGACCGTGAAGTCGCCGTTCGGCGTTCACGGACAAGGCATCGCAGGAATCGCAGCCTCGCGGACAAGGCGTCAGCCGCGTCACAGCCTCGTCGCAGCCTTGTTTTTTTTTTTTTTTTTTTGAAATGATTGCAGCCTTGCTTGACACGGTAGAAAGGTGAGGAGTGAGCTGTGAGGACCGTGAGACATGAGGTCCAATCCCTCTGAGCCTCTGAGGCAGAGCCGCATATGTCACAGCAATTTTTTTGTTTTTTTTTTTTTTTGGGAAATGTTAGAGCAACTGAGGAAGCCAGCAAGAGCAAGGTGAGGTGACCTCCCTCGGACCCTCGGGCCCTGAGCCTTAATTTTTTTTTTAAGGATCAGCGGGAACTTTAAATTTTAATTTTGGGAAGGTTGCACACTTGCACCTGAGTCAACCGGGTCAATTCCGGGTTACCGGGTTGACCCGGACCCAACCCGTTTATGAAACGGGTCAAAAGTTAAGACCCGAACCAGACCCGTTTGTTAAATGGGTCGACCCTAACCCGAATTTTTCGGGTCGGGTTGTCGGGTCTGGTCAATTATTGACACCCCTAATTTTAGTAGTTATATGACTTAAGGAGTGTTAAGTAGTCTCATCCTTTAAAACCAAATTTAAAAAAATAGAAGAGAAATTATCTTTTCCATTGTAGTCATGGATACACTCTTGAGGCATACTAACAATTAAAAGGGAAAATTGTAAGATTAATATTATAGGGTTACCTTTACTAATTTATTCAAAATCGAACTACTCATGTAGGTGAAAGTCAACAAAGGTTGTTGAGATAGTTGCTACTTAATTTTGCATGTTTGACATTCTTGCAACTTATATATTTTTTATGATTCCAAATATTATTGTTTTTTATTATTATTTCTCATAACATATTTTGGAAGAATTATTCTTGCTCTTGTGTGTACTAACATTTCAGAAAAATCATACTGCAGATTGTTGAAGACTTCAAATCAAGATCAGTTTAGAGTTTAATTGTAATTGAAGTCTCTATTTTTCATTTTATTGAGTCTGAGAGAGTGTGATTGTAATTTGATTAACTAAGCACACACACATCGGGGGAGAGTTTTAAAATTCACGTTTTTAAACTGATCGTACTGTACGATATCACTTCGTATGGGACGATCTGATCAGTTATTTACCCCAATGAGCAGTGAAACGAACAGAGAAGGCAAAAATTTTTCTAAGTTCATATACGATATTTTTTAATTGTACCGCGACGAACGGCTCTATTTTTGCCAAATGCATAGTTTGTACATACGATATTTTTTTATCATACTGGGACTAACTTCTCTATTTCTTTTTTGTTCATTTCATCCTGACGATTCGTACAGACGAACTTTGAAATTGTTCTGTTCGTACAGGACGAAATGTGTTCGTACCGATTCACAACATGTTCGTACGCAACAGTTTTTTAACAGTTCGTACGTACTAACATATGTTCATACGGGATGATTGTGAGCTCTCAGAACTTGAAATCTTCAGTTTTTGGACGATTTTTTCTTGTCCTTTCTATATAAGGAGTCCTAGAAACTATTATAAAAGCCGTTGTTGTTATTTTCTCTTGAGAGGGATCACTGAGTGTGAGTGTTGGGGAGAGATTGTGTGAGTGAAGAGTGAGAGATCAAGTGAGGGGTTTGTGAGGGATTCACAAGGTTACCCAAAGCGAGGATCTCTTTGTTTCCTTCAAGTTTCTGCCCATCTCCTCTGAAGGCTCTCAAGTGAAGTTCAACAACATCGGTCTGGTTCTCTGCCGTCACTTGGAAAGTGTAAAAGGACGACAAGTGTATCTTTGGCATCCATTATGTCTTTGATCTTTTAGAGAAAACTTGAAGAGGGAACTTGAAATGGAGAGAAGAAATGGTGGAGTTTGAGAGGGAGAAG